CTGACATTAACCCACAAACCTATGAACACCTGATCTTCGATAAAGGAGCCAAAAGTATACAATGGAAAAAAGAGAGCATCTTCAACAAATGGTGCTGGCAAAACTGGATGTCAATCTGTAGAAGAATGAAAATAGATCCATATCTATCACCATGAACAAAACTCAAATCCAAATGGATTAAAGACCTCAATATCAGTCCGAACACACTGAACCTGATAGAAGAGAAAGTGGGAAGTACTCTACAGCAAATGGGCACAGGAGACCACTTTCTATGTATAACCCCAGCAGCACAGACACTAAGGGCATCATTGAATAAATGGGACTTCCTGAGGCTGAGAAGCTTCTGTAAAGCAAAGGACACTGTCACTAAGACAAAAAGACAACCCACTGACTGGGAGAAGATCTTCACCAACCCTGCAACTGACAAAGGTTTGATCTCCAAAATATATAAAGAACTCAAGAAACTAGACCGTAAAAGGCTAATCAACCCAATCATAAAATGGGGCACTGAGCTGAACAGAGAATTCTCAACAGAAGAAGTTCAAATGGCCAAAAGATACTTAAGGTCATGCTCAACTTCCTTAGCGATCAGGGAAATGCAAATCAAGACAACTTTAAGATACCACCTTACACCTGTCAGAATGGCTAAAATAAAAAACACCAATGATAGCCTTTGCTGGAGAGGTTGTGGAGAAAGGGGTACAATCACCCATTGCTGGTGGGAATGCAAACTTGTGCAACCACTCTGGAAAGCAGTGTTTCGGTTTCTCAGGAAATTCGGGATCAACATACCCCTGGATCCAGCAATACCACTCTTGGGAATATACCCAAGAGAGGCCCTATCATACAACAAAAGTATATGCTCAACTATGTTCATGGCAGCATTGTTTGTAATAGCCAGAACCTGGAAACAACCTAGATGCCCTTCAACGGAAGAATGGATGAAGAAAGTATGGAATATATACATATTAGAGTATTACTCAGCAGTAAAAAACAAGGACTTCTTGAATTTTGCATACAAATGGATGGAAATAGAAAACACTATCCTGAGTGAGGTAAGCCAGACCCAAAAAGAGGAACATGGGATGTACTCACTCATATTTGGTTTCTAGCCATAAATAAAGGACAGTGAGCCTATAATTCATGTTCCTAGAGAAGCTAAATAAGGTGAATCCAAAGACAAACACATAGGCATCCTCAGGAATATTAACCTTCATCAGGAGATGAAAGGAGACAGAGACAGAGACCCACACGGGAGCACCGGACAGAAATCTCAAGGTCCAAATCAGGAGCAGAAGGAGACGGAGCACGAGCAAGGAACTCAGGACCACGAGGGGTGCACCCACACACTAAGACAATGGGAATGTTCTATTGGGATCTCACCAAGGCCAGCTGGCCTAGGTCTGAAAAAGCATGGGATAAATCCGGACTAGCTGAACATAGCGGACAATGAGGAATACTGAGAATTCAAGAACAATTGCAGTGGGTTTTTGATCCTACTGCACGTACTGGCTTTGTGGGAGCCTAGGCAGTTTGAATGCTCACCGTACGAGACCTGGATAGAGGTGGGCAGTCCTTGGGCTCCCCACAGGTCAGGGAACCCTGATTGCTCTTCGAGCAGATGAGGGAGGGGGACTTGATCGGGGGGAGGGGGAGGGAAATGGGAAGCGGTTGTGGGGACGAGGCAGAAATCCTTAATAAATAAATAAATTAAAAAAAAAAAGATCAAAAACACCAATGACAGCTTATGCTAGAGCGGATGTGAAGTAAGGGGAATACTCATCCATTGCTTGATGTGGGAAGGTCATTTGTCAATCTGTTGTTTCATTGGTTAATCAATAAAGAAAACTGCTTGGTCTGATAGGTCAGAAAATTAGGTAGGTGGAGTAGACAGAACTGAATGCTGGGAAGAAGGGAAGTGAGCCAGATGCCATGCCACTCCTCTCCAAGGCAGACACAATGAAGCTCTGGCCCAAGATGGACGTATGCTAGAATCTTCTCGGTAAGACCCCACCTCGTGGTGCTACACAGATTACTAAATATGGGTTAAGCAAGATATGAGAGTTAGCCAAGAAGAGGCTAGAAACTAATGGGCCATGCAGTGTTTAAATGAAAAAAAAAAAAAGAAGTGGAGGCAGTGCCTAGAGATATCCTCAGAGAGGCGGACATGGAGGGGGGGGCAAGAAAGATCAAAGGCTTGCTTACCAACAGGTACCCAGAGTTCACCTTCCTTTCTGTGACCATCATCAGGCTTCTGCAAGCTCCTGAGGGCAGGACCCACTGTGCTGGGGACTGTGGACCCAGACCCTGAATTTCCTGTGACCCACAACTTGTTTTCCTATGCTTGCAGCTGTTCTCAGCAAACAACTTATTTTGCAGCTGCTCTGAGCACGAGACCCTCAGGAGTTCCTGATGGCAGGGGAGTGATTTCTGGTGGGCTTGCAGCTGAGGTTAGGACGTGACCATTAGTCAAGGAGAGCCTATATAAGCTACCCTGGAATACAATAAAGAGGGCATTTTTGGAGTAAAAAAAAAAAAAAAAAAAGAAAAGAAAACATGGAGCAAATCTGGCTATTAGCTTGCTCTTTTTGATTTGCTCAGCTTACTATAGGATTCAAGAACAACTAGAAGAGGTGGAGTTACCCACATGGGCTGGGATCTCCCACATCATTAATCAAGAAAATGGGTCCTGAGACTGGTCACGAACTGCCAAGTCACAAGCCTAGGTTCAGATGTTCAGCATATTAACCATCTTTGTTAGTGAGCCATCTTCCTAAATGGATGGCAAATGGATGGATTAGGAAAAGATGATATTGGGTAAGTGAGCCCAGATCCATAAAGGCAAATGCTGCAAGTTCTTTACATCTTCTCTTCTTAACTCCCAATCTTTGGATATGAGTATAAAACATGGAGGAACAGATAAGGAAGGAGCTACCTAGCATGACTGAATACCTTGATCTGAATGTGTAAGTGGGGCTCTCACTGTAGGGATGGGGCACCTAACAGGACCTGAAGCCTCACTCTGTATGAGTTTGTATGGCATTGGATGAGTGGGAGGAAATATGTGGTAGATCCAGACACAGCCATGCTTGTGCATTAGGCTTTGGCTACAGGAGAGGGGCACCTAGAAAGATCTGTATCTAGATTCCTGTGTGGGGCTTTGCTTATAGAGAAAGACACCTAGTAGAAATTGACATCTAACTGATGGGGGGCAGGGTAGGAGTTAGGGGTGAGTTCCTACCCAGCAATTCACACAACTAGCCCCATTTCAGGAGTTTTGCCTGCAGGGAGGAATTAACATGAAAAGCCAGACATAGTCACGCATGTACTTGTGATGGTTAAGCTGTAGGGCCTAGGTGTGTGTGTGTGTGTGTGTGTGTGTGTGTGTGTGTGTGTGTGTACAGAACTGATGTTTTATATATATCACTGGGGGATGTGCCTAACAGTACTGATGAACTACCCATGATTGTGTATTGCATCTTTGGATTAGGGGAGAAGGTACCTATCAGGACCTGATACCTAGTCCTATGCATTTGGTCTGTTTTTAAGGGAAAGGATGCCTAAGCCTGACTCTGAGTTTTCAGATATAAGGGAGTGCACACCTAATATGACCTGACACCTATGATTCTATGAATGTGTTTGTGTTTGTGTGTGTATAGGTGTGTTTACCTAGTGTACTGCTATAGGGGAGGGGTATCTTGCATAACCTGATACCTTACTATGTGTACATGTGTATGTGTACATGTCTGAGGGGGGGGCATTGTACTATAGGGATATTTGTACCTAGCAGAACCTGAAACAAACCTTGCCATCTGTGTGTGTGTGTGTGTGTGTGTGTGTGTGTGTGTGTGTGTGTGTGAGAGAGAGAGAGAGAGAGAGAGAGAGAGAGAGAGAGAGAATATGACTGTATATGAGGACTGTGCTGTAGGGGCGTTTGTACCTAGAAGGATTTGAAGCATACATGTGTGTGATAAGCTCTATTTGTAGACAAGGGGATGCACAGTAGGGCCTGACACCATGCCTACCATGTGATAGTAGGTTTTGGCAGTAAGGGAGGGGGTACCCTGCAGGATCTGAAACCTAACCATGTATGTGCATGGCAGTAAGAGAAGAGATAAATAGCAGAACCCGACACTTGCTTGTATGAATATGGGGGTTATGATTTTAGGTGATAGTAACACCTAGTTGTGTGCTCTATGAGGGTCTTAGTTGTAGGGGAAGGTTATGTCCTAGGAACTGATATGTAGACTTGTATGTATATGTTGGGCTTTCACTGTATTCAGAAAAGGGTAGGTACCAAGCAGAGAATTAAAGTGTGTATGTCACTTTCTATGTAAGGCAGGCAGGGAATACCCAGCTGGTCTTGACACCTAGTGTCAAGATATGTGTGGGATTTGTCTGTAGGAGAGGGTGTGCCTAGCAGGGGATGATACCTAGCTGTGTGTCTTCTGGGTTTTTTTTTTTTTTTTTAATTTCATCGACGTTGGTCTACGGAAATGATGATTTGGGGCAGCAATATTTCATCTTAGTTTGTGTTTGGGCTATGGAAGGTAGCGTCAGGATTTGGGTGGTGGTTGTATTTTTCTGTATGAGTTTATAGGCCAGGACACTAGAATCGCAAAATGAGGCGATAGACTGAACAATTTTAATCCGAAGTGATCAAAACTCAGGATAAGATGGTCAGAAACGGGGGTGCAGCGTCCTCCTAGATCCAGTTCTGCTCTAGGCTGGCAGCAAGCATGAGGGGAGGCTGTGCAGAGCGGGTCCAAGGCGGCCTGACAGCTGGAGCTGTGTGGAAGACAGCCTGAGACGGAGGGAAGGTTCAAAAGGGTCTGGACACTCAACCGGAAACAGCTGTTGGAGGAGGTTGTTGGCAATTGGTGACATGTAGAGGAAGTGAGTGACTGGGCGGGATTAGGGAGTGACAAAACGGAAGCTGGGAGATTGCGAAACTGAGGCCCGGTTGTTTGTGCAGAGGAGTCAAAAACTGAAGTTCTAAGTATTAATTCCCTGTCGGGGTCCTGCACCTGCACCGTGGGAATCGCATGGTGCAGAGGACGCGGTGGGTTGTCGCAGGCCCGGAAAAACTCTCCTGAGCTGCAGTCGCCAAGCCGGGCGGCCGGGAAAGTCAGCAGTGCAGCTGCGGAAACCGCTGCCTGGCGGCCCTGGAGCCTCCCAGGTCAGAGGAGCTGCGGGGCTGGGACCCAGGAGGGAAGGGACCAGGGGTCAGAGAAGGTTATCTGCTGTTCATAAGGAAGTCGGGATTTGTTCAGCGGTGATGTCTTCCCTTGTCGATAAATTTTAGATCATATGAACTGTACTAATCCTGATTTTTTTTCCAAAGATCTTCTGGCTGCCGAAATATTCTTATAAACATGGTGTAGTAGAATATTTGAATTTATCTGTTGATATTTGCAAACACTGTTCCATTCCCTATGGTGTAAAGGACAAAGCTCTCGATATTTATATTCATGCATGTTAACTGCCCTGTTATATCTTGGAGACTTGGCATTCCAAGAGATCTTTTAGATATTAGTCATGAAAGGAATGTTTGCAGATTTTTTTGATTGATTCATATTAATCCGCAAACATTAACATTTAAAAAGTAAACATTTTATCCACCATTAATTTTCCATCAGAGTCATATGCACTATGTAATGCAAATACAGCATTCTGAAAAGTGTCTTTGCCAGACCTGGTGGCACAGGCCTTGAATTCCAGAACTCTGGAGGCAGAGGCAGGCAAAGCTGAGTAAGTTTGAGGCCAGCCTCATGTACATAGTGAGTTCCAGGTCTTCCATAGCTGTATTGTAAGACCTTGTCTCACTATATATATATAAAGTGTCGTCTTGGCTGAGTTCTGAATGTTGCACCTAGAGTCTGGAAAGCACAGTATGCTGTTTGAGGGTATCAGGTCACACTATTTTCAGTTAGAAAAGACATTATAGGCCAGGTGGTGGTGGCACATACCTTTAATCTCAGCACTAGGGAGGCAGAGGCAAGTAGGTCTCTGAGTTCAATGCTAGCCTGGTCTACAGAGCAAGTTTCAGGACAGCAAGGGCTACACAAAGAAACTATGTCTTGAAAAAAAAAAACAAAAGGGAAGGAAGGAAGGAGGGAAGAAGGAAGAAACATAGTATAGGATAATATTAGAATACATCCTTTGAATTATAGTCATTCATATATATCAGAAAATTTTTCGTAATAGTGTTTTGTCTCCTTGATTTAAGAAAAGTACTCTGTGCATGGAGTATGACCAAATTGTTATTTTTTGGTTATTGTGTTTGTTTGAGACCCAGACTCATAGTGTTGCTCTCTGGCCAAAACTCACCTGGTAGACCAGACTGGACTGGAACTAACAGAGCTCCTCCCACCTCTGTCTCTAGAGGTGTGCGTCAACACAACCATTCAAACCATTGTCTTTTTAGTTGTGGTCTGTTGACAGCCAGTGGTGAGACTGTGGGCTTCTCCCAGGAGGAGGGGCCAGGCCTGGACCCTACCCTAAGGGCTTTGTGCTGTCACTGATTGCTGCAGAATTGCAAGTGTGCTTTCTGTGGGTGAGAACAGTTTGCCTGTAGTCTCCTTTGTTCCTTTTCAGCATTTCTTGGCAAATTACTGTGCAAGTGTATGAGCTTTGTGTGAGTGAGTCTCACAGAGTAAAGTGAACTCCTCAGAGGAACAATGAAAATCTTCATGAAATGTTCTCTTTTTCCTGTGTGTCCCTGGGGAAGTGTGAGGCTTCCATCATTGGGTCTATGAAGAATTCAGAGCCTTCCTAGTGTATAATATTCTCATTCCAATAATTCAGCTTTGTTTCTACCCCTGAGATTTGGTTTGAATTGAGCTGTGGTTGGAATTGAGATTCAAGTGATGCTAACTGAAAGTGCTTTCTAAATATTCTTAGTATTCTGACACTTCAGGACAATTCGGGAATCACTCTTAAAATCCTGTGTTTATCTGCTGAGCACAGTACTGTGTTAGAAATCTAGGTGCTTCCTGAACAATCTCTTTGTCACTTGCAGGGCGCACTGATCACTCAGACCTGCTCACCTGTGGAGAAGAACAAAGAACCCTGGAAGATGGAGCAGGAGGAGGCAGTAGTTAAGGATACAGGTATGGTGGAGGGATTGGTGAAGGGATGGCAGGGTTAAGTGAATGTGGAAGTGGGATGTGAAATCAATTTTGCCACATTCTCTTTCACTAGAAATAATTCTGGAGGCTTCTACTGAGAAAAATCTCCTTATAGGATTATCCTGTTGTAGGTATGAGAAGAGGTTCTGAGGAAGAATTGACACGCAGGCAAATAAAATTGTATTTGACGATCATGTGAGTGATGCTGTCCTTACCCCATTCACACCACTGATCATGTCATCATACCAATACTAATTGGTTTTCATGTCTGTGATTGTAATGTATTACAAAATGATCAAAATTATGACTTCTAGATTTATTCCTTTTTTTCAGAGTCTTGAAACTTTTGGTATTCTAGCACATTCTTTACCTTTTAGTGTTAGTGTTTGTCCCTGAAAATGATGCCAACAGAATTTTGATAAGAATCAGGAAGTATATTTACAGACTGTTAAACTCCATCTGTGCTCTCTTCCCATGGATAGCTGCCACTGTCTGTTGTCATGACCACTCCATGTGGTTTCCATTGCTGTAATTGTAATATACTGAGAGATCACCTCTACGTTTGTTCCTCATAGTATTTTCCAGGTCTGTATTTTCAGAATTACTATCTGTAAAATATGCAAATAGGATTATAATGGGAATGGCTTGGAGTCTTAGAGAAGACAGACCTTCTAGGTTGTCTCCTTGTGTCTGAAAAGAATGTGAGGCACTGTGCCAGTTTTCAAATGTTGTATGTATTCTCCTGGTTTTTGTCTGCTGTTGATGTCTGCATATTTTTGTGATATGCACTCATGTTGATCAAAGAACTTTCTATCCAGTAAACCATATTATCATTTGCTAATACTGCTTATTTTATATTTGCATACGTGTGTGTATTATAGACTTAATTCACTATTTTTCTCGTATAAAAAATCTTTATGTGGTGGTCACAGCTAGAGCAGGCTTCTGAACAGACTCTGCTGTGGGTTATCACAAGATGGTCAGTGAATTCTTGATAAGGAAACTTGATAAACAGTCTCTTTCCAGAGGTCAGGGGTCAGGTTGCTGTAGGTATTAGAGATGGCATCAAAGGTGACCTTTGCAAAGTTGCCCAGGTTGGCAGTGCAACTCCTGGTTGGTGTGTGGCATTCATCAATACTGACCATCGTCTGTACCTTCTTGGTCCTAGGAGCAGAGACTGCCAGTGCCTCTGGGACAGGGATGAGAAGCAATAACACAGAGCGACAGCACCCTGTCACTTTTTTACAGAATAGTGTAGGGCTTGCCATCTCTGTTCTTCCCGTAGCCTCTTCATACAGGGACTTCCAGAAATACTGCAGATTTCATAATTTTATGTCGGCCTCCATCTGTGTCATCTTTTCATGCTCTAGTTTCCATCTTCTTCAGTTCTTTCAGTGAATCAAAGTTTTCATTGTGGAGGCCTTTTATCTGCTTGGTTAGTTCATTTAAGGAGTTTTTATTTTTATTAATCATGACTTAGTATTCATTTTTTAAAATTTAGATTCATATATTTTATGTTTGCAAGTGTTTTGCTTGCATTTATGACTGTACATTGTGTTCATCCTAGAATTGTAGTTATGGATAGATGTGTAGGGTTTGGGAATGGAACCTCGGACTCTGGAAGAACAGCAGGTACTCATAACCATTGAGTCATCTCTCTAACCCCCTACTAAGTGTAATTATGTGAGTAACAATATTAAAAATATAAATTTTTACTATCTAGATAATCCAAAATTTTGACTTTACACAGGCTTTAAAAATTTTTAATAACTTTTTCTTTCATTGTTATAATGTTTGTATGTATTTTTAAACATAAAAATACAGCCTACTATGTATGTTTTCAGGGATAAACATTTGGTGTTGGATAACCACTCTTCTCTGCAGAAGACTATTTCTCCATCTCTCAGAATTCCTTCGTGTTTGACTAGGGTTGAGGCCTAGTGAGCTTTCTCTTTCCCTGTTAGCATGTCTCTTGGTGTTGTCCTTGATCTGCTTATGTTTAGGCAGCCATGTTTGTAAGATTTCATGCATGTAGATTCTCTGACATTTCTAGGAGACACAGTCTCACAGCAAACATCCCATTCCTCTGGCTCTTACAATTTTCCTGCCCCTCCTTCTCAGTGATCCCTGAACCTGAGGAGCAGGTGTGGTGTTGCTTATGTGTTTGTAGGGACTGAGCAGGTTTTCCGAAATAATCCCCATGTGTTCCAAAAAGATCTTTCTATGGTGAGAGTTGAGGACAACATTTATCTGTGGTGATAAGGAAGATTTTTAGAATGCAGTTATGGATTATGCTGATTTAGTAAAGTAGTGATTGTATGTTGTAGGAGGACATTTGTTTGTTCCTGGCTGCCTAGACTCAAAATAGCCACACAGAAACTGTATTAATTAAATCACTGCTGGACCTATTAGCTCTAGCATCTTATTGGCTAGCTCTTATATCTTAATTTAACCCATTCTTATTAATCTATGTACATGGCTGTAGCTTACGGGCAAGGTACCAGGTTGTCTGTTCCCGGCAGTTGCTACATGGGTTCTCCCTGACTCTGCCTTCTTTCTCCCACCATTCAGGTTAGTTTTCCCCGCCTACCTCTATTCTGCTAAGGCACTTGTCAAAACAGCTTCTTTATTCATTAACCAATAAAAGCAACAGGTATCAGTAAAATCTTGTCTTCTTATCCGAACCCTTAACAATATTGTTTAATATTTATTTTATTATCTTTACTTCTTTAATCTATGACTGTTTGTACTCTTTTATATTACATTTACTGTCTCTTTACTCTTTTTCTTTTCTCTCCAAATCCTACATACATTTATCCAACACTGTGACCCATTTAAAGTCCTTTTTATCTGAATCTGTCTTTATTGTTTATCTGTAATTATTTTCTGACAAAAGGCGCCTTTTTATTTTTAATACCAAGTGGATGTGGCTAGGGCCAACACAGCCCTGCCTGCTTGCTGTGCTGAGTCCAACATGGCAGAGAAATGTTCGCTGCCTCTGAGAGCCATGAACATTGCCCAATTTTGAGGCACACAGCAGGTGTATGTTGCCATTAAGCAAGTTGTAGCACTCTGCTCACAAACCCCATTTAAATGCTCCATAAATGCTCCATAGCTGGACCTCCCAAAAGAGCTGTTTGTGCTGGCAAACCAGGAAACTTCCCTTTTTTAAAAGAAGTCACACAGTTTTTCCTGCACCTCCCTTAAAGCAGCCTCGGCACCCCTGCTCACTGTGAGCCCATCTAGAAGAAAAAAAAAATTGTGGCTACCAAGAAACTGTGCTAAATTCTGTTCTTTTTTTGCTTAGAATTCCTTTTCAAGCTCTCTCAGGTTTTAAGTGGATTTATTTGGCCTCATTGGGTGCCAGTTTGATGTAGGAGGCCGATTGTTCATTCTCACCTGCCCAGACTTGAAATAACCACATAGAAACTGTGTTAATTAAATAACTGATTGGCCTATTAGCTCTAGCTTCTTATTGGCTAGCTCTTATATCTTAATTTAACCTATACTTATTAATCTGTATTGCTATGTGGCTGTGTCTTACTGGCAAGGATTCAGCTCATCTGTTTCCAGTGGCGGCTACATGGCTTCTCCCTGACTCCGCCTTCTTTCTCCCAGAATTCATTTTAGCTTTCCCTGCCTACCTCTACTCTGCTAAGCCACTAGCCGAAATAGCTTCTTCATTCATTAACCAATGAAAGCAACACATATGCAGAAGAACTTCCCACACCAGTTGTAGGTTCTGCTGTAAGATCTTTGTCTTCACTCTCCCTAGGTAAACTGGGCTAGGTTTCTAATACCAGGCATGATTTCCCTCCTGTTGAGAGGGTCTTAAATCCAATTAGAAGGTGTTGGTTACCACCAAGGTACGTGTGCCACTCTTGCACCCTTAGTACTATCATGCAGTACAGATCATTGTGGTTCCTAGGTGTCATAGGTGGAGAGGACTGTTGATTGGCTCCTTACTTTGGAAGCTTGCATGTTGCTTTCTGGTATCATGAAAGCTAATCCCCAGGAAGGTTTTAAGGTCATAACCATCTCTAGTCCTCTGGGATCTGTATCTGAAGTGCATGGCTTCTTCAACAATAGAACTTATCTTCTGCCTCTAGGAAGCCAATATGGGCAACAGCAATAGCCTACGTTTTGGGAGTGTCTTGGACAGCTGTGAAAAACAATTTCCGAGCAGGCTTCTTATGGTTTGGGTGTGGATGGTTTTGGTAGAAAGTCTATGGCTCTTGTGATGAGTACCATAAGCCCAGATGGATTTTTTTATTTAACTATAAATGTATCTGTATGCACATATTTTTTTGGATGGATAATAGTATCTTTTTGTAAATTTTGTAAATTAGACATTTTTACTGTCATTTTACCCTCCTTCTGTGTTTATGTCTCTTCTCCATAATTAAATCCCTCACCCCTGTTTCTCCATTCCCCCCTTTAGACTATTTTTTCCATGTTATTCCCTTTTTTATTACTCCCACACAGCCCACACTGGACTGTTTTTATTTTTCTTGTTTCTGCAGTTATTCCAGGTTGTGTACTCACATTTGAAGATTTGGAGCTAGGAACTGCCTAAGAGAGAGATCATACAATGTCTATCTTCATCTGGGTTACTCCTTTCAATATGATCTTTTCTATGTTCAGCAAGTCCGGTTTTATCCCATGCTTTTTCAGACCCAGGCCAGCTGGCCTTGGTGAGTTCCCGATAGAACATCCCCATTGTCTCAGTGTGTGGGTGCACCCCTTGCTGTCATGAGTTCCTTGCTCTGATGGGGGAGGGGGACTTGGTCAGGGGAGGGGGAGGGAAATGGGAGGCGGTGGCAGGGAGGAGGCAGAAATCTTTAATAAATAAATAAATTAAAAAAAAGAAAAAAATATGATCTTTTCTAGGTCTATCCATTTACCTGCAAAGCTCATGCTTGCAATTTTCTTTATCCCTGAACAATGTTCCAAAGGTTATGTGTATCACGTTTCCATTATTCATTTAGGTTGTCTCCCTTTTGTAGCTACTGTGAATAGAGCAGCAATGAAAATGGGTGAGCAAATATCTGTGGAGTAGCATGTCAAGTCCTTTGAGCATATGCCAAGGAGTGGTACAGCCGGGTCATGTGCTAGATTTCTTTAACTTTTTCAGGATTCTCCTTATTGATTTTCAGAGTTGCTAGATTTATTTTGTCTGTTTGTTTTAAGGGAATTTCTTAATGTTGTTGTTGGTTGGATTATATTGGGAATAGTTTTCTTTCTTTTGTCTGAGAATTAGTGATGTGCTGTCTTACCCATGGATGATTACTTTCAAGTTCTCCTGTATTTATCTATTCTTCACATGAAAGTTATTTCCAATGTTCTCATTGATAATTCATTGGAATCCCCTGTGTATATTTTGCCTCTAATTTATTATCTGCAGTGCTGCTTTAGTGAAATGTGCTATGTTAATTCATGATTGTCTTCAAATACACACATGCTCCATTAATTTTAAGATAGATTTTTTTTTTGTTTGAGTAACAATATGATTAACAGTGATTTTCTCTTCAAGCTTTAAATGTCATTCCATGCACTCGTGGATTTGGGATCATTGTCTGAACACTTGGTCTCATTCTTTTGCTTGTGTCTTTTCAAGTGATTTGACATGTTTCTTTAACAGCTTTCAGTATTAATTTTTGCACTTTCTTTTTGACCCCTTAATATGAAAGGTCAACAAGCCATCTACTCATTGTTCCTGAAAGAGAAACTCACAGAAGATAAACTGAAAGAAATGGCTGATTCTGCAATTAATCTCTCCCAGGTCAGTGCTCATGCCCTGCCCAACCCCCCTTTTTTTGTAGATATGTTATAGTTTTACACATTGGAAGCCTTTAATTTTCTGCTTCTAATTATTTTTTAACATTATAAAAATGTTGCATACAAACAAAAATCACATGCTGAAAATAATCTGACTGTGTACCTCAATGTCTTTTTACATAGTTAAAGTAGTTATTGGGAACAGAAGCTCTGGAGCCTCACATGGGATATTATAGTTTCAATATTCAATACATTTTGATATACTTATCTGCCATCAAAAAACAGACCAAAAAAAGTGAGACAGAACTAGAAAAGCACTTAGCTTTACATCCTTCACCATAACTGGTGTTTATTACCTGCATTCAGTTCTACCTCCAACCCAATATTTATAACCTTTCTTGTTCTCTTTTCTTCATATTCTGCTGTGCCCATATGTATGTTGTTTCCATAAACATATAGTAATGGTAGATTCTCCCTATGAGGGAAAATACAGTATTCTTTTTCTGGTACTGTATGATCTCTCTTCCAATTATACATTTTTATTTCATCCATTTTCCTGCAAATTTCTTACATTTTTCTCTTCAGCTGAATAGTATTCCATTTTATATGTATATCATTTTCATTGTGCATTCATTGGGAGTAGACAGTTAGGTCTGATTATAATTCTTTGCTAATGTAAACACAGCAGCATTAACCACAGAGTATAAATATCTCTATAGTGGGGTGGGGTATTTTCTAGATATGTGCCCAGGAGTGAAAGAAGTGGGTCTTAACTTTAGTTCTGTCTTTAGTTTTCTAGTAATCTTCAGGCTGATTTTCATTTGAGTGTATTAATTTGCCTAAAAGGGTCATGCTCTGTGAAGTGAAATGATCTAGTTTTAGTATAAATTGATCTCCACATGGATCCTTTGATTTGAGTCTGGATTATAAACTCAGTGCCTATTGCTTAAAGAGTCATCCTGATCAGATTTATTTTCTAACCTAGGTGGATCTATTAGAAACTCCCCTTTTATGGCGGAGAATGTGCCAAACCTCATATTCTATTCTCCCTATAGATCCAGGGCCCTGACCACCCTTTCTCAAGAGAACCCTGAACTTTTGTTGTCTGGTGCTCCTCCATCTCACCTTTCCTCTAAGTTTCTGTTGCTAACCTTGGGGTTCCCTTACTCTTTCCCTTGTAAGAGGCACCACCAACTGTATAGCCATGGGGTACTGAAGTGGAAGCACCTCAAAGCCCACAACCTTTTATGGTTAATGTTCCCTTTTCTACCACCTACCTTTGTAATTGAAAACAACAGAACCCTTCTTTCTCTGAGGACCCCAAGGGCCTCACCTCTCTTATAAGTACAATCTTTACTACCTACAAACCCACCTGGGAATATTGTCAGCAGCCCTTGTAGGTCCTTTTTATTTCAGAGGAGGTAGGTTGGATCCAGGTTGATGCTCACAAATATGTTCTGGGACAGGATGAATTATGTAATGCCAACATACTGAGGTCGAACTTAAGTCTGTTGGAAACTTATCAACCTCAAAGATCAGGAGAGGTATAGAGGATTAATGAAAGCTTAAAAGATATTCTTCCCAAATTGATTGTGGAGAGAGGTGATATCTGGGTAAGTCTTCTCCCATTTTGCCCTCTTTTTTTTTTAAAATATATTTATTTATTTATTTGTTATGTATACAATAGTCTATCTGTGTGTATGCCTGCAGGCCAGAAGAGGGCACCAGACCTTATGACAGATGGTTGTGGGCCACCATATGGGTGCTGGGAATTGAACTCAGGACCTTTGGAAGAGCAGGCAATGCTCTTAACCACTGAGCCATCTCTCCAGCCCCCCATTTTGCCCTCTTAAGTGCTCGATGTACCCCTCATGTACTCCCCTTGAGATTATGTTTGGAAGGCCTCCCTGAATTATTACAAAGCTAGATATTGGAATACCTAGAAAGAGTCACTGATCCAGAACTTCTTAAATTCTTGCAGGCAGTCCTGCCCAACATCTTTGAGACTGTCAAAGAGGACCAGCTACTGTATCAGGAGAGACACCCACCAGATGAGCCAGAGATACAACCTGTTGATTGGGTTTGGGGCGAGAAATATATGGCCCAGCAGCTAGGAGGAAAGTGTACTGGACTGTTCGAGGTGATCTTGGCCACACCGACTGCTGTTAAAGTAGCTGACAAGCCTCACTGGATTCAGCAGAATCATCTAGAGCTGTCAAAATCTAAACATGTGCCTAAGGAATGGGTGCTAAGGCCACTGGGACCTACCAAGGTACAATTAACAAGGCAGGGAAAAGACCCATAATAATGCTTGTCTTTTTCCTCCTGATGTCTGCCACTTAGGGGCTTATATGCCCACCTACTATGAGTGGAGACTCATCCAAATATCTGATGCAAAGATTTTAGCCATTGCCACCACACCTGACTCTTTCTCTAACTATAAATCTCTGTGACCTAGTATAAGATTCTGCACACACCACAGGGTTGCAACGCTTGGCCTATTGTGAAAAAATTAAAAAGAGGTATGGTAGTTTACCTTGCCCCTCAGATAGAACACCCCTTTGTGAGGTGGAGGGCGGATAGCACTGTGGGGGAAGGGAATGTGAGATATTAGCCAGTGTGACAATTAATGCTTGTGAGACATTTTACCCTTGGTTAAACCCAAAGATTAAGACTATTGGCTACAATTACACATCGTTAGTTTCAGGAAAAAAGTATCTTTACTGTTATCGTTGACCAAAGACGGGAGGGAAAACATGGGGCCTTTGGGTGTATGTTTTAGGACTGGACTCTGACACCGAAAGTTTACTGTTCAGTGGTTTCAGCCCAAGCAACCAAAATTGTAAGTGGGCACCAATAAGGTTATCAGCCCAATAATCCATCTTGGGTGCCCTCACCCAAGAGAGGACTGGTCATCTCCCACAATGCCAATCTACCTGTTAAGACACATCCTAAAGAAAACTATAGTTTGAAATTCTTGACAGTACCTTCAAGTTCCTGAGTGGAACTAACTCTAATGCTACTGCTGACTGCTGGCTTTGCATTAAGCCTGGTCCTCATGCTATGTAAGCATAGCCCCCCTTTCTTCCCAGGGAAACCAGCCTTCTGATATCAGAAAACTCATTGTGGATGAGCTGAAATCCCAACACTGCCCATGGACCAAATGGTCTCCCTCTTTAGTGCAAGAACTCAAAGGCCTGTTTTCACTCAGAATATTATAGCCTCAACAACTCACCATATGAGAGATTTTGTAATTCGAGCAGTCCAGTTTCTAGTTCAGATGCAGGACATAGGCTTAACTTTGTGGTTCCTTCTCATGGGTGCTGGTTTGCATGTATGACAGGGTTGAAACCATGCATCAACCTGGCTTCTACCACAGACCTGTGAATCCTTGTGAACTTACTGCCCCAAGTCTACTACTTCTCAGGAGGAAGAGGAGGTTGAGAACATTATCTTTCCCAGAGGGACATACCCAAGAGCCTCTGAGCAGTTCTCATCCCAGCCTTCTCAGGGAGGGGCTAGCTAGGTTGACAGACTTTAGAACTGCAGCTCTTATAAAGGAAAACCAAAATTATAAGGAACTAGGGAGACTGATAGACGGAGACATATTCAAACTGGAAAAGGCTATCTGTCATCTGACTGACTCCCTAGTACAGGTGTTTCTACAAAATAGGATAGGCCTGAATTTACTATGCCTCCAGCAGGGAGGCTTATATATAACTTTAGGGAAACGATGTTATTTATGTGCTAATCATTCAGGAGTAATCAGATACAAAGAAAAGACAGGGAAGAAACACAACAGGTTTTCTAACTGGTTTGAATCACATGTCTCATGATCCCCGTGGCTAACATCCTATGTTTCCATGCTGATGTGTAACTTAAACATTATTTGATGTGTTTTTGGACTTTCATCTTTTTTTTGTAACTATTTGCATGTGAAATCTTCAAAACATCTGAAATTGTTATTTGTCTAAGTCAACTTCTATTATTTCTATAATATTTTTGATTATATCAAATGTGGTTGATGCTGATTTTTCTATCTGCTTAGTAGTGGCCCAATATTTTCATAAAATTAATTCTATATACTACTTGATTTTATATGTTCAAGTTAAAATTTACAGTATACAGTGTTGTTGTATTCATTTTTACTGTGGAAAAAAACCAAACTCTTTCACTATTGAGTTAACCATGAATTTTGCCTTCCATATGTGCCAGTTTGCTCTTTAATGGTATGGCATTGGACCTAGAGTCTAAACATATGAACTGAGCATGTTACAATGGAATCATGGTAGGCCCAAGAACAGACAGGATGATTCAGTGTCAATATTTTAGCATAAAATGTAGGCACAACATTTCAAAGCACATTTCCTCATCCTAAATTTTCCTCCTTAGACATGTCCGCTATGATCCTGTGCAACATAGAAGATAGATAACCGTGTCCAGACCTTGAATGTGTGTTGTTTAGTGTATATTGCCTGTGAGACTACTGTATCATCCTGTGGAGTATGACTATATTAGAAATCATCTTTGAGTAACTATCTTTACCATCTAGTCCCCTAATTTCCTCACATCTCCTTATATCTAGGAGAGCACTCTGTCTGGTAGAAACACAAACTGTACTTTGTATTTCAGGGTCTGTTGACATTCAAGGATGTGACTGTGGACTTCTCCCAAGAGGAGTGGGAATGTCTGAACTCTGCTCAGAGAACTTTGTACATTGATGTGATGTTGGAGAATTACAGCAACCTGCTCTCTGTGGGTGAGAACATTTTGCTTGTAGACTTGCTAACTCAAGCTTTGTATGTACTGACTGTATAGGTTATGAACTCTCTGTTAGGCTATCGTGAAAACAATAGGAGATTAGGGAATGCTTGGGAGTAGAAAAGAACTTTTTCTTTGTGTTTTTTTTTTCTCTCTTCTCCATTTTATAGGTGTGATGCACCCTTCATTTCATTTCCATAATACATTCAGAAACTCAGTAGCATATAATATTTCCAGTTATATCTTAAAGCTCGATGTCTGTCATTGTTCTTAATATTGTTTTATTTGTGAGAAAAATTCACGATATTCAAACTGAAAATTCTCCCTAAATATGCTGAAGATTCTGACAGGAAATAGCAATTGGAAAATTATTCCTATATTCCTCTACTATGTATTCTTTCTTTACTGAGCATAGTACTGTATTAAACATGTTCATTCTTTCTAAAAAATTATAGCATGGATCATGGATGGCCTCACAGAACACATAGATTATTATATGCTAGGTTGGCGTGGTCACCTGTCCACAGCAAATAAGATTGTCTTGAGAGGTGGAGAGCAAAGAGTAGCCACAGCTAGGGTGCGCTAGTGAATGAGCACGACAACAATGATAGCTTCCAATAAAAGAGTACGAAAGAGGTGAGAATGCTTTTGCAATATTCAGTTCCTTTTGAAAGGATTCCTGATAATTGAACCTCGAATATATAGTTTCCTTGCCCAGGGATGCATTCTAAATACTGTAATTGTTAGAAGATGTGTCTTATTACACCTGGATTATGGTTTTTACTTAATGCTAGTACAAAATGCAGTTTTATTTGCTGATATCAGATTGGAATAATCTTACAACGTTCTAAGTCTAATGTGAGTCCATGAATTAGGATTATTCTGTGATTGCTTTCCTCGCATGTATATTAATGGTGGCTAAAAATAAGCCCTGACTTCCCATGATAGCCCTGCTTCAAATGATCTCGAGCAGCGAGTGGTTCTGAACCTTGGTAACGGTACAGCCTTTTAGTAAAGTTCCTCATGTTTTGTTGACTCCCAACCATAAAAGGGTTTTTGTTGCTAATGTTTGACTGTAACTTTGCTACTAAGTGATGCCTTGGTTCCTAAGATCATTGGAAAAAACATGTATTTTCAGACAATTATGACCCACAGGTTTAGAACCACAGATTTAGAGCCTCTGATGTAATACTTGCTTTGCATCTATTACTTTTTAAAGAATCTAAATTCAGCATGAAAATATAGAATCTGTGACGCTTTTCAATAGGCCTTTAATTTTCTAAGGAATTGGGTATTTTGACTTAAATTTTCATTGCTGTACATTAGTAAGTAAACACTGTGAATCTGGAATTGGATTAAACTCTGCTTCATCAATTTCTGAGAAAAAATATTTTAAAATAGTGGCATATATTTTAAATATACTTGGGCAGTTACCTCCGTCCCCAAGCTAATTACTGATTTCTCAGTTCTCTGCTTCAACTTCCTTGAAGACTATTACTCTGTGTTTGTGAGCATCCATAAATAACAGTGGTGAAGAAAGTTGACTACTGGAAACTATTCTAAATAGTTGTTGGTTGGCTTATCTTAAGAGAGAACTTCGGGAGATAGTTATTTATCAAATGTTTAATCTTGGAACAAGCACTATTAATGTGAATTGTATTCATTTTCAGAGAACTGTTGCATATGTAATCCTGCCCATCTACATGTGAATAATGAAAAGGAGTCTTCTCAGTGTAATGACCTTGGCAAAGTGCTTCATGACCCCTCCACATGTGCATATTATAGAATAAGTGAAACTACAGAAAACTCTAATAACTATAGATGCAGTAATCATAGGGATGACTCTGTTGACTCATCAAACCCAGATAGACATGAATGTGTGCACACTGGAGAAGAACCTTGCAAACCTAAGGACTGTGAGAAATCTTTAAATTTGTGTTCCAACATTAATAAAGATCAGAGACTCTATACTGCAAAGAACGAGAACAGGCAGGAAGAATATGATGACCATTTTAGCTCTACATACAATGGTTTACAACAAAAATTCTGCATTGGAGAGAAACCACACCAGTGTGGGAAATGTGGGAAATCCTTCAGTACTGCCTTAAGCCTCACTGTACATCAGAGAATTCATACTGGAGAGAAGCCTTACAAATGTCAGGAATGTAACAAATCCTTCACTGTGAAGTCAACTCTTACAAAGCATCAGAGAATTCATACTGGAAAGAAACCCTACACGTGCAACGTTTGTGACAAATCCTTTACCCAGTGCTCAAGTCTGAAAACTCATCAAAGACTCCATACTGGAGAGAAACCTTACAAATGCAGAGAATGTGGAAAGTCATTTCATCAGTCCTCAGCACTTAAAAGCCATCAGAACATGCATACAGGAGAGAAGCCTTACAAATGTAAGGAATGTGACAGATCCTTTGCCCACTATTCTAACTTTAGGAGACATCAGAAAATCCATACCACTGAGAAACATTATAGGTGTCAAGAATGTGGCAGGGTCTTTCATTGGCTTTCACACTTAAGGAGACATTACAGACTCCATACTGGAGAGAAGCCTTACAAATGCAATGATTGCGACAGTTCCTTTACCCACTATTCATCATTTAGAAGACATCAGAAAACTCATTCTTTAGAGGAATTGTACGAATGCAAAGAATGTGGTAAGTCCTTTCTTGATTTATCACATCTTAAAAGGCATCACCGAATCCATACTGGTGAGAGGCCTTACAAATGTGAGGTCTGTGACAAATCCTTTACCTTGAACTCAACTCTTAGAAGACATCATAAAATTCATACTGGGGAGAAACCTTACAAATGTGAGGTATGTGACAAATCCTTTAGTGTAATATCAAATCTCAGAAATCATCAGAAAATTCATACCGGAGAGAAACTTTACAAATGTAGGCAATGTAGCAAATCCTTTAGCCAGGACTCATATCTTAGAATACATCAGAGAATTCATACAGGAGAGAGACCTTACAGATGCAGAGAATGTGGAAAATCATTTCATCAGTTGTCAGCACTTAAACGCCATCAGAAAATGCATACTGGAGAGAAACCTTACAAGTGTACAGAATGCGGCAAATCCTTTACCCAGGACTCACATCTTAGAACACATCAGAGAGTCCATACTGGAGAGAGACCTTACAGATGTACAGAATGTGACAAATCTTTTACTGAGTGCTCAACTCTTAGGCAACATCAGAAAATTCATACTGGAGAGAAACCTTACAAATGTATGGAATGTGACAAATCCTTTTCCCGTAACTCACATCTTAGAATACACCAGAAAATTCATACTTGGTAGAGACCTTACAAATGCAAAGAATGTGACATGTCCTTTATTCAAATTTTGAGATTTAGAAAACAGTAGAAAATTCAAACTGGAGAGAAAAATACCATTGCAAATAATGTGACATAGCCTTATCTGAATTCTCTGCTTAGAAATCACACTAATAGAAGCATAAAGATATGAAACTTGTGAATGTCTTTCATCAAGGTCTAAATGTTAACAAATTTCACAGGGCTTATATGAAAATAAAATTCTACAGGGAAAGTTTTGTTGTTTTTTGTTTTTATATGGTTGCATTGTATATAAGTATTTCTGTGGACTACATGTATGCCTGGTGCTTGGAGAGTCCACAGGAGGTAATCAGATGCCTTAAGCCTGGATTACCAGAAAATTGTGACCTGTTATATGTGTCTAGAATTGAACCCCAGTCTTCTGGAAGTGTAGTCAGTCCTCGTAACCACTAAGTCGTATCTCTAGCCCCTCAGAAAAGCTGTGATAAAAATACTGGGTTCAACATCTAAAAATTCATAATAATAGTGATGTGATGATGCAAACCTTTCATCCCAGCACTCACAAGGCAAAGACAGGAAGATCTCTGAGTCAGAAGCCGTCCTAGTCTACATAGTGAGTTCATAGACAGCCAGGACTACATAAACACTGTCTAAACAACAACAAAATATCATAATGAGGACAAAATATGGTAACATTAAAAAATGTGACAAAGCACTCTAATTTTGTTGAGCACTGCAAAATTCATAATCCTGAGAAACTAAATAAAGGTATACCATATATAATCCCAACATGTGAAATTCTCTGCATTTGATTAATTGAGGTTTTTTGTAGTGGGTTCTGCCTGTTGCAGCAGAAGTTTCCTTAACGAGAAGTGATGACTACACTTATCTGTGGGTACAAGGTAAAATGTTTAGATTTTTGTGTGGGCTTATGCAGGTTTATTAAGTGGGTGTCATAGGTTCTCCCAAGATTCATACCTGAGGAGGTAACAAGATTTCTAGTACCAGTCAGTCATGGTTTCCCGTCTGTGAAGAGGGGCTTAAGTCTGATGACAGAGCTGTTGGTTACTACTAACATGTGCTTGCAACTGATTCAACCTTAGGGGACTTTTGCCATGGTGATCTTTATATGGTTTATAGGCATCACAGATGGACAGGACTGTTGCTTCCCTCCTCTGGGAGCATACACGGTGCTTCTGGTAGCATAAACGATGTTGGTCAAGGAGAAGTTCATTTATCTTGAGACATGGACTCTCGGTGTGTTCCCAGCTGTCCTATACTCATTGTGTAGAAAAGGGTAGCATAGAACTCAGAGATCCCCCTTGCTTCTGAGTGCTTGGTTTAAGGCTTAAGGTTTAAGGCATGACCTCGCCTAACTAGACATAACTTTTTCTTTTCATGTCTTGTAAATTACCCAAGGTAACTGCACCACCTAAATGACATTCATGAATAATCAAGTGTATCTCATTTCTACTGATATTAAAGACTTATATTCCACTTAATTGGAAACTCCAATTGAAATATATGTTTCCAAGTGCTTACAACATACCAAATTACAACATAAAGTAAATAATGTAAACAGAACTACAAGTAGAAATGAGATGGAACAAGTGATAAAATGCCCTCTTCACTCCAGGATTAGGTCAACAGGGTTCTATCAAAACTTCAAATAAACACAGCAAAGCTACTTAAAATACTTCTTGGAATAATAAAGGAAGTTTTCCTGAACCTTGATACAACCAAAAAGAAATTATGAACTGATGAGGTCAATAAAAAATATTACCAACTATCCCCGCCCCCCTTCTTCATACACACACTGTCCTCTCTCACCTCCTACCTCTATTATCCTGGTCCACAATTGTAAAAAAAAAAAAAATCTCTCTATTGTGTTAATCTCTATTCATTTTGCTTGGGACCCACTGAGATTAACCAGGGCCATCTGTGAGACTGAGTTTGGAGCTCTGTGTTGGAACCTGGAGGGCTCTGCAGAGTATTACAATGAAAGGCAGTGATTCTCCTCCTACAATCCATTCATGGACAATGTTGGAGACATAAAGAGCCTTTCCCTTTCCTAGACTGTGGTCTAATATGAGGTCAATACAGGTAAGTACTGCTACTATTAATTACTGATTACAACAGCTATATGGAGTCTAGAACATGACATGTCTTAGCCCTTCCTCCTCTTTCCCTTCTATTCCCTTTCCTCCTCTTCCTCAGTGTTTCCAGAGCCATAGCTAGTAAGGTGTGACTCACATTTTTACACTTGGGAACACAACCTTATTTTCTGCATCCACCTGGGAGTGAGTGGGGTAGTGTGCGGGGCAGAGGGAGTCTTAAGTTTTATCTCAAAGCACCTTTAGCCTGATTCCCAGAAGACTAACTTGTTCCCGAGTGGGTAAAATGACAAGACCACCATCTAGTCGTGAAAGCTGTACAACGCGGGATGAACTCAGCCCTGAGTTGTTAGTAATGGGCTGACAATTGACTTCTTGACACACCTATTTTCAAAATTCAACTTCGTGAAACGTCTATCCCCACGACCCAATTACAGTATTTTGTTTTGGTTTCTCATGTCTGTGTTGGGGATGGGACTCTGGCACCTGAATTTAGGCAGTTATCATTTGTGTATGTAGCCCGGGGGGCTGGTCGTCATGTCGAGGCTAGTCTGCCTGTCTTTTCATCTGAAAGGTTCAGAACTCACTGTGGGGTAATACCGGGATGCAGCGTCCTCCTAGATCACTTCTGCTCTAGGCTGGCAGCAAGCATGAGGGGAGCTGTGCAGAGCGGGTCCAGGGCAGCCTGACAGCAGGAGCTGTGTGGAAGGCAGCCTGAGACGGAGTGGGAGGGACGAGTCCTCTCTGGGACCGGGGACACACAACCGGAAACAGCAGATGGAGGATGTTGTTGGCCATTGGTGAGGTGTAGAGGAAGTGCGTAAGTCGGAGGGGTTAGAATAGTAACGTAAAGGAAGCTGGGAAGTGTGGTTGCTAAAGCTCGGTAAGTTGAGCTGAGGAGCCAAAGCCAGAAGTTGTAAGTGTGGATTCCCTGTGATTCCTCCGAGACCTGCACCGTGGGCAATCGCGTGTGGCTGACCTAGGTGTAGACGACGCGGCGGGGTGTCGAGGGGACGCGAAAACTCCCCGGAGCGGCAGTCGCCGAGGGGGGCGGCCTGGGAAAGTCAGCTTCGCAGTGGGGGGAACCGCAGCCCGGCGGCCCTGGAACCTCCCAGGTTGGAAGAGCTGCGGGGCTGGGACCCAGGAGGAAAGGGACCAGGGTGCGAGCAGTTTCTCTGCTGCTCACAAGGAAGCCAGCTGTGAAATATTGTTGTGAATATCTTACCCTCGTCGTTAAATTTTAGATCATCTGCACTGGACTAATCCTGATTTTTCTTGTTTAACCTTCTGGTTTCCAAAATATTCTTTTGGATATTTTGTAATATTGTGAATATTTTGTACAGAGACGATATTGCAGAATTGCAGCATTCTGGTTTCTGTGGGTGAGAACAGTTTGCTTGGAGTCTCCCTTGCTCTTCCTCGGGGCTTTTTGGCAAATTACTCAGCATGTTTGTGCCCATTGAGAGATCTAAGACTTCCATCATGTTTGGTCCTTGATAAATTCACTAATTCATTTGTGTATAATATTATCACTCAAATCATTTATTTACTTTAATTCCTGCCCCTGAGTTTGAACTGAGCTGTGCTTGAGTTTGGGATTCAAGTTATACTCTCTGAAAATGCTTTCTAAATATTTGCATTGTTCTAACCCTGCATCTCAATCAGGGAATCACTTGTAGAACCCTCTCTTTTTCTACTGAGCACGGTACTCTTAGAAATTCAGATGATTTCTGAACAATCTTTTTCTCATGTGCAGGTCTCACTGATCACCCAGACCTGCTCCCCTGTGCAGCAGAACAAAGAGATCAGGAAGGTAGAGAGAGAGAGAGAGGAGACCAGGATCCAGGTATGGTGGAGGGATTGGCGGCAAGGGGTTCAAGTCAATGTGGAAGTGGGACATGAGATCAGATTTGCCACATTCACTTTCACTAGAAATAATTTTGAAGACATCCATGGAGACAGAAATCCTCATGATTAGCCTATTGTAGGCACAAGAAGACTTTCCACAGAAGAATTGATAATGGAGTCAAAATTGTATTTGACCATACATGTGAGTGATGCTGTCCTTACTGCATTCACATCATTGATCATGCCATCATAATTGGTTTTCATTTCTATGATTTTAGTATATTATAAAATAATGAAAATGCCTCTAGGATTATTTTCAGAATTTTGAAGCTTTGGTATTCTAGCACATTCTCTACATCTTAGTGTTAATGTCTGTTCCTGAAAATAATGCCAACAGAGTTTTTGAAAAGAATCCGGAAATATATTTACAGACTGTTTAACTTTGTGGTGATATTTTGTTTGTGCTTTAACAAATAAAGCTTACATGAATATAGAGCGGGGAGCAAGTCACTAGTTAACCATTGAGGCCAGGCTGTGGTGGAACACACCTTCAACCCCAGCACTCAGGAGGCAAAGGCAGACAGATCTCTGTGAGTTCAAGGCTACCCTGGGCTACATGAGATTGATCCAGTACAAAACAGAAACAGAGCCAGGCTGTGGTGGCTCACATCTTTAATCCCAGTATTTGAGACTCATACACCTTTAATTCCAACACTATGGAGGCGGAGACAGGAAGGGATATGGCTGGGCCGAGAGAGGAATATAAAGCAGGATGAGACAGGAGCTCAGGGCATTCAGTCTGTGGATTTGTAGAGACAGAATACCCCATTCAACCTGGGGATTTCGTAGAGGTAAGAACTAGTGGCTGGCTGCTCTGTTTTCTGATCTTTCAGCTTTCACCCCCTAATATCTAACTCCAGGTTTTTATTATTAAGACCAGTTAGAAAACGTGCTATATAACTCCATCTACACTGCCTTTCTATGGATCTCCTGTTGTCTTGGGGTCATAACCATTCCAAGTGGTTTCCATTGCTATAATTGTAATATACTGTGAGATCACCTCTAAATTTGGCCCTCTTGGTATTTTCTGGTTCTTTTCTTTTCCTTGGTACTTTTCGGAATTACTTTCTGTAAGACATGCAAATAGCATTGGTAGAGGAATTGCTTGGAGTCTTAGAGAAGTCAGACCTCCTTCTAGGTTGTCTTGTGTTTGAAAAGAAAATGAGGCAGTGTGCCAGTTTTTACATGTTGTATATATTCTCCTGTTTTTGTCACTGTGTATGTCTGTATACTACGTTTTGTGACATGCACCTGTGTTGATCAAGGACTTTCTATCTAATGGATCATTTTATCATTTGTTAATACTGTTTAATTTGTATTTGGATACTTTTTTCTTTATTTTTCTGTCACCATTGTAATGATAATCATCAGTTGTCTTTAACAGCTGTTCATAATCATGGCATTATTTTTGAAAACCTTCCTTCTTTCTCAGTTTTTTGCATCTTTAAAAGTGAAATGAAATTTGGTAGAAAATACATGCTTTCTCAGCTGTCCTTTTTTTGAATGCTTAAATCTGTTTATATCATTTGCTTAGGGAATAATATCCATTTATATTTCAAGAAATTACTGAAAGAAATGCATTTGTTATTATTTAGGAACTTGAGTGTGATCATTGACTGGAGAGAATTTCTGTATATTGAATTTACATTATCTTATGATCTACACTGTTGCACTTTTTAATATATACATGTTGGCCATTCGACTGCTGTTGACCACAGTCTATTAATTCATTTGCTTGTTTATTGATTGTATTGTCATTT